CCCCCCCCCCCCCCCCCCCCCCCTTTCCTCTGCAGCATTAAAGCTGGGTCCAGAAGCATTCAAATTTGATGGTGGCGTAGAGGCGGTGGCAGTGCGGCAGAACGAGAAGTATTACATCCTAAGACCAGAGGTGATTGAGACCTACTGGTATATGTGGAGATTCACCCATGATCCCAAGTACAGGCAGTGGGGCTGGGAGGCAACACAGCTGAATGTATTAATTATCTGTCAGTAAATTAATTCTATGTATTTTCCTTTTGAGGCACTTTAATCTTGTGGTACTGAAACACTTCAAATGGTAATTGATTTTCACGAGTTCCTGTAAACCAGGGTACATATGGGGGTGCACACAGTTATTCCTGTTTTGCAACTGCTGAATCAGATGTACAGATGAGAAACGTGTTCAGCATTATACAGCTGATGGGTTTTAGGCATGGAAATGGAATCCACTGGACATGGATTCTGATAACTCCTACTGTTATCAGTAGTCCACAGCCCCCAGGATAGGTAATTTATCCTGGGAAATGAAAGCATATTATAAATAACTTTGTTAAGCATGTGTTAGCACTCAGTTTAGATTAAAAGACAAAGCTGTTCTTACAGTTCCTTCTTGGTCAGCTATTAAAACACAAGTGGTAGGACAACGGTTCTCAGATGGTTTGTAGACTAGATAGCGTGTATACGTGGGTTGGTATCATGGGTCTTTCTTTCCTTAGTTGCCTGATTTGAGGAAAAAAAATTGCCAGTTGGTTTAGATTTACTCAATTATAACAGAAAATTCCATCACTAGAAGTAGACCAGAAAGGGAAGTGAATAAGTAATGGCACGTGAGGCAGAACTTAAAAATTGTTGCTAAGGTATTTTGGACATTATTGCTTTTTTTTGTATAGCTGCTTTCCTGGGTTTAAATCTAGTTGTTGTATGTTTTAATCAAATTCCCGAGTGTGAAAATGCTTCTGAGTCTTTCTCATTGGAAATGCTTGTACTGGTCTACAGAAGCCCAAATTCATTGTAAGACTCTCAACACAGATCTGTGCTCATGGCCTTCCTTCATTCATCCTTTGAACATGGAATCATAGAATCATTAAGGTTGGAAAAGACCTCTAAGATCATCGAGTCCAACCGTCAACCCAACACCACCGTGTCCACTAAACCATGTCCCTAAGCACCTCATCTACACGTCTTTTAAATACTTCCAGGGATGGGGACTCAACCTTTTCCCTGGGCAGCCTGTTCCAATGTTTAACCACTCTTTCAGGAAAG